GGTGGGGTGGGGGTGTGGGGTGTGAAGGCGTCAGGTGAAGCTGTGGTCGTACCCGCCGCCGGCCCGGCCCTTCGCAGGAGGCGGGTTTGCCGGGTTTGTGGATCAAGCCGAGGGGTGGCTCGGCTTTGGTTAAAACACCCGGGAGGTTTCCCGCAGTCAGCGGGGCTCCGGGAGAAAGCAGCGGAGAGCTACATCTGTGCCTCGCAAGAAATACACTAAATTCTGAAAGAAAGGTCTAAAAGTATCCGTTGGGTTTTTACCCCTTTGTAATCGGTGCCTTTCACCTTAGCGCCCGCGCTGTGTTTCCTATGTATAATTTTGTTTGAGAAATAGCATTCCCTGATAGCTTTTTGTCTTGTCTTTCAGGGAGGGAGTTGCTTTCCGGTAATAGCAAAGGAACGTGATACTGAATGAAAGCGCACCAACAGCATCTTCATTAGTCGGAGCCTGACTCTTTCTGCTTAATGTTGGTTTCTTTGTCATCAGGTCTGCTAAAAAATGACAGAATATAAACTTGTTGTCGTTGGAGCTGGTGGTGTAGGCAAGAGCGCCTTGACAATACAGCTAATTCAGAATCACTTTGTGGATGAATATGACCCTACAATAGAGGTAAACAGTTTCATCTTACACTTTTTGTGAAGAGAGATTATCAGTAATAATGGTAGTTGTTTACTTTTCGACAGTTACCACAAAAACATAGAACAAGGCTTTATATTAAAAAGGGCTCAAAGCTAATGGTCAGCATTGGACAAGCACTGGAGAGATCGCAGTGCTTCTTGATCTGGCTGTGGAACAACAGCTGCAGTAAAAAAAAAAAACCTAGCAATTTCAATTGAAATATAGTCTCAATTGCCATGTTTTGTTGGGCAGTTTGGATGTGTGTTTGTAGGATCATGGTGACAAAGTATTTGCCAAACTTACTTGAAAATGCTTGGCAAAACTCTTCATGGCTTTTTACGCAGCCTCTTATATGTGACTTTCCTTTTTGGTATCAAGGAGGAAAATTTATAGTTCTGATACATACGTGTCAAGCTTTCTCAGCTCCTATCATTAGGATCTATTTCACACAGTGCGAAATATGTTGTGGAATGCTATGGAGAATGCACAAAAATTTGGAGCCTGATTTATTTATTTATTTTTAAACAGACCAGTGTGTGTTTCTGTATGTAGAAAAACGTTACAAGGTAGCTGCTGTAGTGGAGTCTTTAAAACACATGGCACAGTTCCTCAAAATCTGAAATTGTATTTAAGCTTTAAAAGTTGCGATATTTTAAAGGCTTTTAATGAGCAAGTAGGTTCTGCCTTTTAAATATAAGAAAAATACTAGTGTTGTCTGAAATCTCCTGTGGATCATTGGATTTAATAACCTCAGACCGTATAAAAGGAGAAATGACACTATAATTTACCCAAGATTTTTATGTTCCCAGCACTGAAGCTCTGTAGCTTATGACTTCATTTATATGTTTATACAATGAGGCACTTCCAAGCTCACTTGAAGGAATTACAAGGGGTTTAAATCTAGGCTTAAAATGGTGACTCGGAAAATGGCTATGTAGTTATTTTCAGGTAGACATAAGTGAAAGGAGCCAGTGCCCTGAGATGGTAGGAAGCTGTCTTACTTTAACCCAGGCCTGTATTTTCACTGATGTGCCCCAAGGAGAGATGTGTTGGTTTAAGTTTACCTTAATGTGCCTTTTGTGTCATCTTGTCTCTCTCTTGCATTGCCAAGTAACCTCACGTATGCTTGTAGAAGATTTTGTGAATACACCTGTGGAGAGAGGAAGACTGACTTGCGCTAGGAGAGCAGGTCTTTCAGTTACTAAGATGTGAAATCTTAAAAACATGCTTAAGAAATAGAACATGCACAAAACTCATTGAGAGCAACATGCAAAATGGGGTTTTACTTTTTCCTTTAAGAGGAACTTTGGGGGATGTTGGTTTTTGTTACTTTGTCAGTCATTACTTGTTTGTAATCATCTGGGTTTCGCTTAGATTAGAGGTGTGCATAGGCATCACAGAAAGTACTGTGGAGCTTCTATGTTACAAGTTGTCCTATAAAGCTAGAAGGGTGTAAACCATTTAGGAACACAAAAACTTAAATGCCAGTATTCCTAAATCACTTGGGGCATTTTGCTAATCAACAAGCTGAGTATTTTGAGGAATAACAAATACATTTTAATGTAAAACAATAAAAGGAAAATACCATTGCTTATAGAACCTAAAATCACGGAACTATGGCTTTTATTTAGTAGCATACAGGGTGACTGTAAGACTGGTATGGTCCAGAATCAGTATGTTCTTCTGAAAGAAAGACACATTGACTCCTAACTTTAACCTAATGGGTTTTAGCAGCATCAACAACTTGTCGCATGTGACAGTATTAATCTGCAACTCCTGCAAGTTCTTCTCTGAACACTAGTTACCATTTTTATCTTGTAAATTCTGAGACTTTGAGGATGGAGACTGTGTGTTCCTGGTATGTGGTAGATCACCTTGTGTGCTCACAGTGCTATAGAGCAATCTTGTAGGTAAGCTTGTAGGGAAGAAATAATTCAGTTACAGTAAGAGTGGTCTGTGATTTGGAGTGGCAAGCAGGTTCCACAGCATGGGCTTGTAGTTGGGTTTAAATGCGTTGATCCTTGCCTGGGCAGAATCGCATTCAGTTGAGAAGGGTTGCTTGGTTGTGCTTCCTGTATAGGTGCAATTGTGGTGGTAGGGGCTGATCAAAGAACAATAGCTGTAGAGTGTGTTTTATGCAGTATGAGGAAATAAGGCTAAAGTTGCTTTAACTGGTAAATAATAACAGTTAAGATGGTTCAGTAGTGTCACTGCTATTGTTTCTCACTTATTACTGTTTCTTCATTGCTATATGCCTGTTGCCCAAATACTAATTTTCCCTCACAGATAAAGAATCAAGCCAAATATTTTGGGGTAGAGTTCAATATTTGTTATCTATAGTGGATTCCATAACTACACAGTTACCGAATAATTTTAAATCTTTCCTGTGATTAACAAAGTGAAACTCAACACTTCAAATTCTCATGCTGTGAAGACATGATGCAGTTGAAAAGAGGAAAAAATATACTAGTTATTTAATCACTGATGCATTTACAGTGTTAATGTTGTTGCTGTCTTCAGACCTAATGATTCAACAAATAACTTGTTTGGAAAATGTCAAGTTTTATGGCCTGCTTGAGTATTTTATTTACTTATATCTGAGCATAGCAGATGATGGGGGGGTGGAGGGCAGGGGGAGGAATTAAACTGAGTGCATGTTTGGGTGGCTACTGTTATTCAATTATACATACTTTATATGTGTTTCACAATTTCATATTTTAATTGAAGTAGATGTCCAAGCACAGATTTATGGCCAAGCAATTTTAAGTGTGTTTTTTTTTAACTGTATGTACACTAACCCTTGTAAATCTGGCCTAATACACAGAACAGTTGGACTAGTGCCCTCTACTGGTCGATGTTTGTTAAATCTTTATTTGCAATACCTTGTGGGATAACATAATTTTTAAAATGTTTATTTCATTTTTACTTTTTGTTTAAAGCCTCAGGATGTTTTAGTGTTAAATATATGTCATCTTTTAAATGTCCTAGAGAAAGAGCAGCATCCTTGGTTGCCTGTCAGTGGTTTTTCAATAGGATTAGCAAAATCCCTTGACCGATTTAGGAATACTGATAATTAAGTCTGTGTTCTTAAATGACCTATGCACCTGTGAAACTTCCACCAATATTTAGTAATAGCTTAGTCCTAGTAGCTGTGATATTTTAATATTAAATCTCTTATAGTGTATTTTTACAAAATGATAGTTACTTGCTTAGATGGGATTTATTAATCAGTGTTTTTCTTTTTTTTATAGATAAACTCCATATGTAGTGTATAGCTGAGATTTCCTATCATATTTTCTTATCAGTGCTTGTGAACAGATGGAGTTATTACTCCTTTTGCGTAATTCGTGTCGATTTTTATGGCATGTGAAAGGCCAGTAAAAGCAAGCTAAGTGATTAATGAAATTAAAACTTTTTGATATAGATATGCTGAGTCGATATACTGGGGAAAAATTGCGAATTCATATTTGCTGTCAGGTACTACTTCGAAGTTGCGTTCTAGTTTGCATTTTGTTCTTACTTAATAACCTTGTACTGGATGTTTCTTCATTGCATTCATTACTGTAAATCTTCCGATGTGCAGTAAAGTTACTGGATTTTTATAAATTATGAAATTTAAAGATTAAAAGGTTGGTTTTTTCATTGTTGAAGGGGAGTTTGACCATCTGGGTTCTGCAATTGCATTTTGAAGCAGAAGTGCCACGAGTACTATAGTGGCATAATGCTTCTTTTTGGTATAGCCTACATTCTCTTTTGCAGGACTTGATAATTTTTACAGTGTGGTAACACTTAAATAAACAACTTTTATCTTGGGTATGTTTACACTGGTATTCACCATGATGGGGTTGGGGTCCCAGTAGCCTAAGCTTTTAATGTGGTGCTTCAGTCTTATTTCCTACAGTGACAAATGAGATTTCAGGTTTGATGTTTTGCAGGGGGGAAAAGAAAAAGGGGCATAAAAGCGAAGTATTTATTATTTCAGTAGCTTGGAAGGAAATCATAAGCTTGAATTTTCTCTCCCACGTCTGTCTTTTCCTTCTGCCTCAAATCCCTTTCCTAGTTAATGACAAATTTTTCTCTCCAGAAGTGGGCAAAACAAATATCATCTCAAAATGTTCCTCCTTCTTGTACCTCTGCTGTGCTTTATGCTGCTGCATCTTTGCTACTACTGCTAAGATGGGAGGCGTGCTAAAGCCAGCAGTTCTTGAAAGTGATTTTCTTTTCTTTTAAAAATGATTTTCTTTGATGAAAATTACTTAATGCTTTTGTTTTGAGCTCAGTTGAGGAGAATTTCTTTTCCTTTGAAGTGCTAAGATGTAAAGGAATAATACAGGCTTTTCAAAAAATGTTTTTCAAATTTTCAAACTAGCAGTCAAATTGCAAGAAGAGAAAATTAAAGATTTGTAAATATGCCTAGTATAATACTGAAGTTCTACTAGTACTTGTGATAAAGGTATCATAGGACATGGGGGATCTGCTGTTGAATTTAAGTGAATTGGAATAACGATGTGTCCTTTAGGGTGGTTTTGGTGTGGGTTTCTTTTTTTTTCCTTTAAGTAATGACATAGAATATTAACTTTATTTTTAAAATACATTGGAGCTTCTGTATTTGTCTCAGCTGTATCAATCTTTAAACATGGCTTATATATTTCTAAAGCAAGTTACCTACTTCTTACTTGTGTGCTGAATTTGTACTTCCGTGAAATAAATATTTCCAAAATCATGTTGGAAGTAAACTTTTATCTTTAAGGTAAACAGTCAATATTGTTTTACGTGATACTGTTAAGTGTCGTCCAGGGTCAAGATAAATGTGAGACTACAGAGTTTGTTTAGTTTAAGATACTGATTCTATACAATTACCTCCTGCTTGTTTTTTAGCATGAGTAACAGGAAAGACCTTTTGTAAAAATCCAAATAGATAGAAAATGCACAGGAGTAGATGTACTGTACCTTAAAATGGGTGTGAAGGAAGGTAATTCTGAATGAATCTTGAAGTTGGCTAGAATTGCAACTTTAATTCTTTAATTCCCTTCCCAGGAGCTTAGGTTCCTTTCTGTATAGTGTTAAAAAGAACAATAGCAATATTGTGTTAATCTCTAGCTAAAGGATCTGAAAGGTAATACCAAGATACTGTGTTCATACCTTTTATTTTTCACAAGCACTGTTTACTGAGAATAATTCATGGCACTGCTCAATGACCTAATTTTAAAGCTTGTTGACACGGTTTTATTTCAAATATATAGATGTTTATAGAAAACAGAGTTATTGGGCAAGTAATGCTTATGATGTTATTGCTAAAACTATGTACTCATAGAAGCCTAGCACCAAAAAGAGCTGTAAATAGGCGTTAATATCTAATTGCTTGGGACTTTGTACAGATTTCAGCCATTTGAATCAGTGACCTGAAAACTTTTGAATTGATAGCACTGAAATAATTTGTTCCAACATCTCTGTGAACCCACCAGGGCTTTTATGTGACTCTGTGTTGGTCTGTCATGGCTAAAAAGCTTGAACTTCAAATATATCAACTCGACTTTGATAACTTAATAACAAATATAATTATATGCATGTGCTTAGGCATACAAAAGAGACTTCCTGTCTCAAACACTGAAAGCTTTTTATATTTTGTCTCTTTTTCAGTAGCATAGATTTTTGGAGTTGTCTTGCTTGTGAACTCTTTCATTATTTTGTACAGTGTTGTGGCACAGCGCGTTTGTAAATGTACATTGAATGAAGGTCAAATTTTACTTAAAAGAATAAAATAAAATAATTGGTACATTGAGGTAGTTTAAAGAAAGTCAAACCTTTTAAAATCAGGATTACAATTTTCTTCAGTTCTTCTATTAACAGAGACAAAGGGGAGATGCTCTTGATCTGTATCCAATTTGTAATTTCTGTCATTTTGAGCAAAATAAGAAGTGCGTCCTTTTACTCTTGTGTGTGTGCATATGTACTGTTACTCACTGAAGATTCAGAATACAGATAAGAATATGTCCTTTCAGTGCTCTTTCCACTTCTGGATTACTGTGAACATGTCAATATGTGACACTGTTTTCCAGCTGTAGAGTTGGATTTTAACTCTTCGGTGTTTTCAGTCATGCTTGATTATTAGTAAACAACTTTAATATCTTCTGAGTTATAGGTGTTTTGAAATCTTGTTCGTGTTTAACCAAGGTTTATGTGTTTTTCTTTTAGGATTCCTACAGGAAGCAAGTAGTAATCGATGGAGAAACATGTCTCTTGGATATTCTTGATACAGCAGGTCAAGAAGAATACAGTGCAATGAGGGACCAATATATGAGAACAGGAGAAGGGTTCCTGTGTGTATTTGCTATAAACAATACGAAGTCTTTTGAAGATATTCACCATTATAGGTGTGTATATTGAAAGATAATTGACTAACTCTTGTATTAGGTGGATAAGTTGCTTGCTTTTACAGTAGATAATAGAATGATCTCTTCTGAAAGAGCATCTAAGGGGAAACTTGCAAATTAGCAACATTGCAACTTACGTGTGCACTTGTAGGTCTGTAATTTTGGGTAATCTGAAAATCTGCTGCCTTGTTTGCAAGTTAGTCAGGCAAAATGTCTGAAAGCTCTTATGTTATAGACTAATGTGACTTAGTATTTCTGCCTGTTCATAGTGAAGACTTACCTAAAGATAAACTGCGCCCATTCCATAAATAAAATTGTGTGTTAAGATGGAAAAACATATGCAATTTAAATTTTACAAACAATGTCAATTGTTAGCTTTTGTTCTGGGAGTGGAGGGAAATACCTGTGGAATGTTACCAGGAGACTAACGTGTGAGATGTGTGAGTCCTGATGTCTAAGAGGAGACATAGACAAAATCTGAGCTCCAGGATGACTGCTAAAAAACAACCTGTTACTAGTTTTCATGTTAGGTTGTTGGTTTTTTTAATAATCAGTTAAAAATTACAATTCATGCTTTCTTTGTCAGCTACACTAATATAGAAATAGAAGCAGTCTTTGGTGATGACCATACCAGATGATTTATAATTTAGCAGCTTACTATTATACTGAATTCTCCTTAGGTATTCTGTCAGAAGGCAATGCAAATCCCACCGAAGATCATGGAGTTTAGCAGCATCAGTCTAAGATTAGTCCCAAACCTGTAATGTTAAGCTATTCATAGTTAGGCATTTATAATGCTGTCAGATCTATGTTGCTGTATGGTGGAGGAGTGTTCTGCTATCAGTATTGCCACAAACTGAACACCTACTCATAAGCTGAAGTTGCACTTTTCATTACAAATAGAAGTTGCAGTTCTTCATATAAGGTGGGATACCATGACAGTTCAAGGTAATTGAAGTCAGGAGGTGGGACTGCCCTGATCGCACGGTTTCGTTTTCTCCTGTATGCTAGCAAATCGGCTCATTTGATTGTGTAGTGTGCTCATGTGAGTAGCTAAACAGGTAGATGCCTACCTACAGAAATAGTTTACCGCTGGCCTATCTCCCTGGAGCAGCTGCAGAATCATGGGAGTGCTGTTGCAAATGAGAGGGGCAAAATTGCTGCATGCTAATCCAGGGAGCGATCAATATTGAGAATGTGAACGCTTTCTTTCAAGACTGTTTCTTTTTTATATTTAAATTGAGCTAGCGAGCCTTTGTATAAATTTTGTTATATATTAAACATAATGTATTGGTGCTGGTGACTTCTTTAAAAAAAAAGAAGTTAAGAGCACAGCAGGGATTACTAATTAAAAAAACCTTATCTATTGCTCTCAGAAAAAAAATGGGCTGTAGAGGAAGAAGGGACAAAGGTAAGATAGGTGTTGATGTAAGGGGCGGGGGGAAAGGAGCGTAGGGGTTTTTATGTGGAATTTTCCTTTTTTGGAGGAAGAGTTGCAGATTTGCATAAGGCGGCCACCGCAGTTTATTTCAAAGAATGTGAGTTGAATGCTGGAGTTTCTACTGTGCATTCACACACCTGTGGATGACCTTGCGGACTGAAGCTGAAGGCTTCTAAAGAAATAACAGAAAACAGTGACTATATTAATAAGGAATATACAGCTAGATTATTTGGGACGGCAAAAGTAATGAAAATAATGATCGTTACTTGAGATTCTTGACAAGTACATCTAACTAGTATATCAGGATGCTTTATAACTAGTATTTGAAAGGTCTCCCTTACCAAATAGCTCTTTGTAGAGCACCAGACCAGTGGTCTTCAAAGTTTAAAAACTCCTGTCTAAATTGAGAGTTTGTAATTCTGTCTTTAATTCAGAAACCAAAAACAACCAAAAAAACCCCCGAAACCAAAACAACAAAACAAGATGACAAGCATAGCACTTTTGACAGTGTTTTATCCTATCAAATGAATTGAGTTTTATGAGTGCTGAGCATGAGATATATGTAGGAAGATTTATACCAGAGCTTCTTAAGCTTGTTCTGGCATTAGCTGTTAGAAACTTCAAAAACCCCACAAACAAAACCAACTAACCAAACCACAAAAAACAAAAAATGGAAAAAAATAGTGTAATGACAACAAATGACCCCAAAATCTGTAGTAGTTTGCAAAATGCAACTTTTTTTTTTTTTTCCAAATAAGATGATAAACTTGATGGTGACAGGATTGGTGAATTTATTTTTTTGATGGCTTCTGTATGTGCGGTAAACGAACATAAAAATTATGTTGGAATCTGTTAATTTAACTTTGTTTCATAGTTTATATGGTAGATTTTAAAACAATATTAATACCTGTTCAATAAATTGTCTCTTTTTTTTTTTTTCTCCTTAGGGAACAAATAAAGAGAGTTAAAGACTCTGAAGATGTCCCCATGGTGCTAGTAGGAAACAAATGTGATTTGCCTTCCAGAACAGTAGATACAAAACAAGCTCAGGATTTAGCAAGAAGTTATGGAATTCCTTTCATTGAAACATCAGCAAAGACAAGACAGGTAAAGCTCAAAACTTAGCAGACGCAAATAGAGAACTCTCATTTGAATTACCATAATGTTAATTCTGGGTGTGGACAATTGCTTGGTCATACCAATATATCTCTTTCTCCAGAGTAGAAATTCTTGTGGTGTCTCTTCTTTCTGTCAACTCACTGACAACTGATAATTGTTTATTAATGAGTGATTTGCTTCAGTTGCGCAAACTTAAAGAATGAGACCTGGCCTGCTATTACTTTCCACTGTCAGATGTTTGCAGCATTCTTAACATTGTGATAGGTTTTAATAGAATAAAAAGCACTCCTACTTAAAGGTGAAATGCTTTTTTCCTTAGCAAGAGGATTAATCAGACAAACAGCTGATTAGTTTATTCTAAGTCTTTTTGTTAATAACAAAAGGAATTGTTCTTTGAGGCATTGATTCAGTGTTAGTGGGATGTGCTTGACATACCTTTTACAGCTAAGCAGTTGACCATAAGTCTCTTTGAAATTACTGGATTAATTGCTTGTGTAAACTGATACTCTTCTAAGATTTTAGAGCTCACTGTTGGTTTATTCTATCCCACTGGTATAGGTGAAAGAGGCAGCCATTAGGGTCCTGTCAGTGCCTCTCTCTGGGTTTGCTATGACAAAAGTGCAGAGAGTGGTACATCTGTGTATTGAGGAGAAGATAAGCTATATAGATCAAACTGGTTCTGTACTTCTGGAAGAAAGCATCCTCTTTGCAAAATTCTGATTTGTGGTTTTTCTTTTGAGAGTAAAGACTTACTATCAGTACCAATGAGATCAGTGGCTGAATAACTTACACTCTCTGAAGAGTGTAAGTGGCTGAATAACTTACACATAATCAGAAGTGTTACATGCAAGTTATGAATTAGGAATTCGGTGTAGTAGAAGGAGGCAAATAAGAGCAGAATACTGCAATTTGAGTAACTGCTCAGTGTAACTAGTAAATAGATTCAGCTGCATCACTTGGCAGAATTTCCTTATAGACCGTATGTAAACTATTTTTGGATATAAGAAATGAATATTTTATTAGTGCAAATTTGCTGCACCCACCCAAGTTTCTGACAAGTTGAAACCTGGACTAATTAGTAAAATTTCACAGAGAAGTCAAAGGAATGCTAACTTTTGGCTATAGAGAAAGTCTCTGTTAGGTAGGATTAAACCCCCAGAACTACACAACTTTAATGGCTGATAATAAATTAGCCCACAAAAGTGTTCTGAAGAATGTGGCGTATAAGTGGACTGAATAATTACAATGTTCTTGTTTGGAAAGTCCTGTATGAGCGACTGTCATTGAGATGTCAGGATAAAAAAAGAACAACTCTGAAATTTTGTTTGAGGTTTGAAATAATAGGAGTTCTGTACTAACATCTAGATTTTAGTTTGTTCAGCCTGTTTTGTAGAGCATCAGGCTTTGTTGAGGAAACATTCCTTTTGCGTAGCCACTTTTATTAAAAGTATCTTGATGTGATGGTGTATCTTCAGCAATTCCTTCTCCCCACCCTACCTGCAGCTTACTCCTACAAGCAGCCCCACTATGCCTAGCCCATACAAAAACGCATGCTCAAAAATCACCACTCCTGTTCAGTTTTATAATCTTTGTTTACACAAAGTAGTATCTGCTTTTTTTATCTTGTGGACTTTTAAGAGGTCTGCCGGAAGTTTGTACTTGTTACAGAAGACAATAGATCAGTCATATATGAACTGTCATTCTATAATTTCACTGCTATTATCTGTGACTTTATATTTCTGGAGGTGCCAACTAAAACATTATAGAAGGGATCTGACTCTTGGCTTTTATTTTTTCAAAGCTGAGCTTTACACTCCCTCCAGATAAGACTCCCTAAAGGTGTCTTATAGATTTTAAAACAAAGATGCCCAACAGACTCTGAGAATGGCTTCTAAAAGTCAGAATCGCTAGGTACAGTTGCTGATTCTTTAGCAGTGCTGTTCATAACGTGTGTTATGAAATTGCTTCATAAGATGCTGTGTTAATAAAATATTTTTGAGAAGACAAAAGGGCTCTAGAGAAAGAACCTGATCTTTAACTACAGCAAGATCATCTAAATATTCATGTATGTGCTCATGTGTATTTGCACATATCACTTTTGATATGTGCACGTGTATACATGTGCATTTACATACAATTATTCAGTCATGCTGTCATATATAAAAAAAAAAAGTCTGTGTATATATATACACCCCCCTTCCAATGTAACTTTTTTAATTAGGGGTTTCAAAACATTTTGCGAACTGTGTGTGGCCCACGGACTATACTTTTAGTGGGCAGCATTCAGTCCTTAGTTAAAAATAAATAAGTAAATAATCTGGTCCCCTCTGGTTACATGCAGAACTTCCAAGTATGGACTGATGGAGCTGGTGGTCTGGTAGCTTCTGGAGTCTACAGAAAGTCTGACATGAATATTTAGAAGTAGGAACCTTCTTTTCCTTTCCTGTACGTACCTCCCACCACACTGAAACGTCAGCACTAATGCCCTGTCGAAGGGCCCTCACCATCATCTTGCTTCAGCCCTTCCCCATGTCCCACTTCTGGAGCTCAGAGAGAATCAGGAAGGTTTCTGGGGAAGGAAACAGGGAAGATGGAAATGGAAAGGAGTTGTCTGTATAGTCTGTTTTGATTGCCAAGACACTTTTTTTAAATGATGGCATTGTATAGTCATGCAGAATATCTCAGTTCTAATTAAGTCAGTTTTTAAGGTTTTCAAAAATTTATAGACCAGGTCAAAAATAGGAAAGAGAAAAAACACTGAAATAAAGGGCAGAAATAAGTTGTTCTAAAAGTTAATGTATTGGTTTTTATTTGGTTCAGACTGGCAATAAAGATGTAAACTTTAACTTTGTGCAAAAAGGTTGTGTTTTAAGTCAAATCCCTGTGTGAATTTTCATACAAATCAATTGAGTTAATCAGTGAAATATTTGCTTAGTGGACCCTACAACTTGGGTATAAGGCTACAGACTACTATTTTTAATTAGACCACTGACTGAAAATAATATAATGTAATTTATGAAAAATAGTGGTAGTCCTATTTCTAAATGTAAACATGTGTCGGTACTGGTGGTTTTGTAAGGCATGTTGCATCACTTACGCTGATAATTTAGACAGCTTAATTGCATCAACTTGCCATTTTTTTAATGTTATATACAATATCTGTTTAATGATATTGTATGTGTTTCATTCCAAGCCATTTTTAATGTAGTTCGTGTGTACAGGTTCCATTTTTAAAACTTTGTTTTCACTTACAACTTTGTCAGATCTCACAATGTGGGTTGAGTTTTTTCATGTCACTTTTCCAAAAAAGTTTAGTCCTTCCCAAGAACAAGGCCCCAGGAAAAAAAGAAAAGTTTGGATAATGTTGAAACAAATTCTGGCATCCAACTTGTGTGCTGAATGACTTCCAGGATGCTGAGGAACCAGGTTTGTTCTTTACCTAATGTAAAGGTAAATAGGTGCAGCAAAAAGGGATACATGTGCACAATGGATAAAATTCAGGTAGGACAGACAGCTGTAGTTCTGGCACTTCTTAACTTTGGAGTGATTAACTTTGTAACTTTAATCACTTTGTGCAATATTTACTATTAATTTACTGATGTATGTCTGGTATTTAACCATTGTAGGATAACACGATAACACTATGATAACCACCATAGGAGCACTATAACCTATAAGCTAAATGTTACATGAGCTAGTCAATTTTTGCAGGTTTGTGTATTCTCCAGTATTGGGTAAGATGACTTTACCACTACAAAGTTTTATGTTGGGAGTGCTTTTATGCAAGTGAGCAGCATTATTTTTGCTCCTGTCCTCATGAATAATTTTGATTTTATTTGTCTAACAGTTGGTTTTAGGAGACCAACTCTGATAAAGTTTGTAAAGGTGGACACAACACTTTTGAGATGTCAAGGCTAATTTTCATTAGTTTCCTTTAAGTGCTATTTACAGAAGCAGAACATGTGAAAATTCCCATTTCTACTTTGGTATGTATTTGAAATAATACTTCTTTGCATATAGTCATATTTTAAATTGAATGTTTGGCTGTCTCCTAGGAGTCTAAAACATGTTGAAAACATTGCCTCAGGGTCGTGGGTTCTTTGGGCTGTTAAAGTAAACATCAGTTTAGATTTTGAAGTTTTTAATATCTGCCAAAGAATACTTTTGCGTCCAGTTTTGACAGCTGACAGAACTGGTTAATGATATTTTAGATATATGGTCCATGCTCATTTAAGGAAAAAATACTGAAGAATCTTAAAAGAAATTGGTATTAAAATGACTTAAGTTTATAAGATTGGCACTTAGCTCTTCTAAAGGTCACCTTGTGCTAATGAAATTAGTAAACGTGTCTCCACAGATTTTCTTTCAGAATAATTTCCTCAATAGGATTCATAAGACTATTCTTGGTGGTGGCAGTAGTAGCAATTTCTCACTCTGTCTGTGTCTCTCCCCCTCTCTGCATTGCTAAAGCAAATTACAGCTCATATTGGTGATGGGAAAGTTGGCAATAAATGTTAACTGAAGAATTGTTATCTAATTATTCATATGAAAGCTCTATAATCAAATTGCATATTTCTACTGCAAAACAGTAGATCTGCAAAAAGTGTTGATTCTTGTACAGCCTGTGCTTTGGCACGTAGCAGCTGATCAATGTTTTACTGTTTCCTCTTCAGGAATAAACTTGAATTTCTTCCAGGAAAACATGAAAGTATGAGCTTTACTTGATTTTTGGTGTTTTTTAATGGCTTTCTTTACATTTTGCAAACTCTCAGACCAGGAATGCAAGACTTGTCACCTCATCAGTACTTCACTACATGCTAACAGGGCAAGTTATATACAACAGAGAAATACAATCCGAGAAATAAATCTAATTAATTTAATCTTTAAATTCAAGTGGCTCTAGTTCAGGAGAACCCTCAGATAAGCAGCAGTGTGTTAAGAATGAGTCTTCAATGTGATAACCTATGGCGCAGTTCAAGCCAAATGAC